CCCCACCTTCCAAAACCACCACATATGAATTTTGGGGGAACACAAACATTCAGACCATAGCAGTAGACTTGGGCAAATCACTTAACCTCTTTAAACTTTGGTTTCTTCTTTTTTTTTTTTTTTGTGGTACGCGGGCCTCTCACTGCTGTGGCCTCTCCCGTTGCGGAGCACAGGCTCCGGACGCGCAGGCTCAGTGGCCATGGCTCACGGGCCCAGCCGCTCCGCGGCATGTGGGATCCTCCCGGACCGGGGCACAAACCCGTGTCCCCTGCATCAGCAGGCGGACTCTCAACCACTGCGCCACCAGGGAAGCCCGGTTTCTTCATTTTTAAAGTAGGGATAAAGAAACCCATTTCACAATGCTACTTGGAACTTTAATGATTAAAACATGATTAACAATGAGAAAGTATAGGAAAAGCACTAGAGCGGCCTGGGATGCAGTAAATATTTAATAACCAGTAGTCATTATTATTACTAACAAGCTTAAAAGAAAAAAGAACTGATTGAGGCAAAGAAAGGACTGCAAAGATGCTAAAAATACTATCAATAGTAATCTCCACTGGAGATATTAAAGAGCAGCATTAAAACTGCACAAATGTCTAACTGGTAATGCAAAAGAGCTCCAGCAGACTGAGAAAAAATGAAAAACTGAAACTGATGAAAGAAAATCTGAGTCAGTAATTCCACCTACTAATTAAAGCCATTTTTGAGAATTAAATCAAACAGAACAAAAGCAATAAGCTAAAATATGAACAAGGAAGACTTCCTGGAGTGAAAAATAATCTCAGCATGCAGATCAAAGGGCTCACTGTATTTCAGGCAAAATTAATTTAAAAATATTTTAAAGACCCACACCCCTAGATATAATTAAGCAAAAAATTTAAACTATGGAGATAATTTTTTTAAGCCTCCTAAAACGGTTCCGGGGACCAGCTTACCAGAGGGATCTTTCAAACAATCTGCAAAGTGTTCCAGAGCATAGAAAAAGACGGAAAAACTTCCAAACTATTTTACGACATGTGTATAACCAATACAACAAAACCCAACAGGGAGAAAAGAAACCACCTACTCCACTTTTACTTTTAAATCAATGTAAATCTTCTAAATAAAACCCTAGCAAACTGAATCCAGCAGTATAATTAAAATACATACACACTATAAAGTTGGATTTAGCTCAACAAAGCAAAGATGGTCCAAGACTAATATATCTATTAATATATCAAACTGTCAGAATAGGGCAACCCAATTATAAGGTAATTCCCATTTTCTCAGTGTAAAGCTCCAAAAATTATTTTTGCCGACTTGAATAAATATTATAGGTATTTATGAAATAGTCAACTATCTATTTAAAATATGTCTATGTATAAACATTTGAAATCATATAATAAAAGAGATATACAGATCTTAAAATATTGTTTTCCACCCTCACTTATTATGAAAAAACCTCTCCCCATGCACACTTGACATCAGTATCTGTTGTCACAGGAGCCACCCTGAGACGTTTAACAGTTTTCCAGAGCTACCATTTTCACTTCTGTCTGAGTACTTCTCAGTCTATGTATGATACATCAATCCATGTATACGTTCATTTCAGGATACAATTTATCCTTAAATTGTATAATTGTGATACCTACAACAAAGGCTTGTTTCACAAACTTATAACTTCCAATTCTTAAAACAGTGAGGTCATTTCCCAGGAATAATTACTAAATCAGTATTAAACGTCTTGGACTCCTTTTTAATTGATTCTTTCCAGTGACCTCTATAAGCATTCAATACCAGCACTGATCAAAGTGCTTTACCAGGCTGTTCAAAATAAAGGAAATTGAAAACGACTCTCGGACTATGAGAGAACTTGTAAGGACTTAAGTATAAGATATTGCCCTCTTTTCTGAAGGGTAAGTCTTTTGGGGAAAACATATGTTATCTATACTCAACCTTTTTCACAGCAGGACACACTTAGAAAATTATAGTATTTGTATAGCACTAAAGCAACTGAAAAAGGCTAGTCAGGGTGGATGCTACCCCGGCCCTGCCGAGGCTTCTCAACAAATCAAAATTGCAGCACACCTCGGGGAAAGCACTGCTATAGCTTGAGGTCCAGTAAGAACTTCCAGATCATCGTGTCAGAGGCAGAAAGGGTGACACCTGGCTCTGCCTGGCTGTGTGACCTTAGGCAAGTTACTTAGCCTCTTTGTGCTTCAGTTCTCACATCTGCAAGATGGGATAATAAAAGTCTCCAGAGAATTATTGTGAGGATTAACTTAACTTATTCATGTAAAGCACTTAGAACCATGTCCCACACATGGTAAGTACTCAGTAAATGCTACGTTCCATAACCATGCCTAACTACAAGCAAAACAAAACAAAACAATTCTTTTAAAAGTCTATAAGTAGAATACCCAGATTAATTCCTCAACGTGTCACCTCATACTTCTCACACAGTCACTTTACAGTAAAACTTACCAGATGACAAGTCCTGACCTCACCCTTCGAGTTTCCAATCAAATTTTTGGGTTTTAGCCAAGGATCACTAGGGGTCTGAAAAAGCCTCCTTCATGAAAGACAGACCAAAACAAAGATACAAATGACCTTAGAAGAGAAAGAGACAAAGTTGGGAGTACAAGCAAACTTAAAAGTATATACAATATTGTGAAGCAACTATACTCTGACAAAAATTTTTTAAAAAGTAAAAAAAAATACATGTATGTGTATACCTAATACACACATATATGTATATGTATAAACATACCTACATACACACTCACATTCACATATATATATATACAAAATTAATGGTTAAGAGTGCAGGCTTTGGAGAAATAAATTATTACATTTATAAAATAAAAACAAACTTTACAAAAAAGGAGTTATCAGAAAACAGGAAAGAGTTTTTGACAATTAAAAAATATGGTGGTTGCTGCTACTGGGCATATGCCCTGAGAAAAACATAATTCAAAAAGATACATGTACCCCAGAGACTTTCCTGGTGGCACAGTGGTTGAGAAACCGCTGGCCAATGCAGGGGACATGTGTTTGATCCCTGATCCAGGAAGATCCCACATGCTGCGGAGCAACTAAGCCTGTGCACCACAACTACTGAGCCTGTGCTCTAGAGCCCACAAGCCACAACTACTTAGCCCGCGCGCCACAACTACTGAAGCCCATGCACCCTACATCCAGCACGCCACAACTACTGAGCCTGTGTGCTGCAACTGCTGAGCCCAATTGCTACAACTACTGAAGCCCGCGCACCTAGAGCCTGTGCTCCACAACAAGAGAAGCCACAGCAACGAGAAGCCCGGGCACCGCAATGAAGAGGAGCCCCGCTGGCCGTAACTAGAGAAAGCCCACGTGCAGCAACAAAGACCCAATGCAGCCAAAAATAAATAAATAAATAATAATAAAATAAAAAACAAAAAAAAATACATGTACCCCAATGTTCATTGCAGCACTATTTACAATAGCCAGGATATGGAAACAACCTAAATGTCCATCTACAGATGAATGGATAAAGAAGATGTGGTACGTATATACAATGGAATATTACCAGACATAAAAAGTAATGAAATTGGGTCATTTGTAGTGATATGGATGAACCTAGGGTCTGTCATACAGAGTGAAGTAAGTCAGAAAGAGAAAAATGAATATCGTATATTAACGCATATATATGGAATCTAGAAAAATGGTACCGATGAACCTATTTGCAGGGCAGGAAAAGAGACGCAGATGTAGAGAACGGACTTGTGGACACAGGTGGGGAAGGGAAGGGTGAGACAAATTGAGAGAGTAGCATGGACATATATACCCTACCATGTGTAAAACAGATAGCTAGTGAGAAGCTGCTGTATAGCACAGGGAGCTCAGCTCGGTGCTCTGTGATGACCTAGGGGGTGGGATGGCAGTGGGGTGGGAGGGAGGCTCAAGGGAGGGGATATATGTATACATATAGTTGATTCACTTTGTTCTATAGCAGAAACTAACACAACACTGTAAAGCAATTATGCTCCAATAAAAAAATAAAATAGACTTGAAAAAAATGGCGGTTGCAATGAATTCAATAGAATGATTAGAGAATAATGATAAGGAAATTTCCCAAGTAGTAGAAGAAAAATAAAGAAATAGGGGAGGAAAAAAACCTAGAAAATTAGAGGATTGACCCAATACCCAAATAACAGGAGTTTTGTACAGAGAGAATAGGAGAAAGGTGGGATAGAGGGCCAAACAATTCTGAAATAAAGAACACAAGGAAATTTCCCATAACAAAAGGATCTGCATTTTCAGATGGAAAGTGCTCTCTGACTACTCAGCATAATGAATAAACCACGATCTACACCCAAAGCACATCATAGGGAAATTTTAGAAAACTATGTCTAATGAGAAGGAGGAAAAAACCACATATATATAACAGATTAGGAATCAGAATGACATTGCCATAATGAAAATGATTTTTCAAAAAATTTTTCTCCCTTCTTTTGTTTTTTCTATAATCAGTGATATATGACTTTATTGTCAGAAAATTTTAATATAAAAGAATCTATACTTGGAGACTCTAGCCCAGATTTAAATGGTTCCATTTCTTAAGTGTCTTCATAATGTCACCATCTGCCTCTGCACTGATACAGAGACCCCTCTAGTCAGCGGAAGTCCTCTTCATAGAGGATGCCTGGGCTGTAGACATTGTTGGGGACAAGTCAGTCCAGGGATTCACTGCCCAGCTGCCCTGCATAGGAGTGTTGTCCACTCACACTTACTCAGTTACTGAGAGCTTGTTTTCAAGCATACTCCCAGAATATTTTGATATCTGAAGGAAGACAGAAGGCTCATAATTCTTTTTCCTTAGACACATTTTTCTATCCATTATTATGATGTCTCCACTCTTGCAGTTAGCATTTATTTTAATAAGGAACTGCTAAATGCTCCAATTTATCTTCATTCCATTTATTGAATACTATGTCCTAGGCTCTGCCAAGAGATGATTTTCCTATTGACGGACTTACCTGTGGAGAAGATGAACACCGTGTTGTTCCAGAGTCCACGGCTTTTTAAGGCTGTGGTGACAGTTCCCACTGCTTCATCCATAAGAGACACCATTCCTGCATAGTAATGCCTATTCTTATCTTGGATAAAGTCGTATGGCTTCAGGTATTCCTTGGGGACCTGAAGGGGCTCGTGGACAGACTGGAGAGCAAGGTAGAGAAACAGAGGCTGGAAAGAGAGTTTGTGCAAATCAGTTAAGAGGGCTTGGAAGCATTAAATATATAGAGAGAAGCCCACATTTATCAGTTAATAAAAGTAATATTCAGACAACCCACAAACTGGGTTAGAAATATTTGTAAGTCATATATCAGATAAGGGACTTGTATCTAGAATATATTAAGAACCCTTACAACTCAATAATAAAACTCAATTAACCCAACTACAAAATGGGCAAAGAATCTGAATAGATGTTTCTCCAAAGGAGATATACAAATGGCCAATAAGCACATGAAAAGATGCTCTGCATCATTAGTCGTTAGGGAAATGCAAATAAAAACCACACTGACATACCACTTCACACCCACTAGGAGGGTTATAATTTTAAAAATGGAAAATCAGAAGTGTTGGTGAGGATGTGGAAAAACTGAAACCCTCATTCATTGCTGATGGGGATGTAAAGTGGTGCAGCCAGTTTGAAAAACAACTTGGCAGTTCCTGAAATTGTTAAAGATATAGTTACCATATGAGTCAGCATTTCCACCCCTAGAAAAACAAAAGCATAAATCCACACAAAACTTGTACATGGATGATCACAGTGGCATTATTCATCATAGCCAAAAAGTGGAAACAACTAAAATGTCCACCGGTTGATGAATGGATTAACAAAATGTGGTATATTTTCAGCAATAGACAGGAATAAAAGGAATATGATGCAGCCGTAAAAAGGAATGAAGTACTGACACATCCTACAACATAGATGCACCTTGAAAACATTATGTTAAGTGACAGAAACCAATCACAAAGATCACGTTTTGTATGATTCCATTCATATAAAATGTCCAGAATAGGCAAATCTATGGAAACAGAAAGTAGATTAGTGGTTGCCTGAAGCTGTAGGGAGTTGTGGGGGAGAGGAGGGATGAGTGACTCCTAACAGGTACAAGACTTCTTTTGGGGGCGGTGAAAATGTTCTAAACTTAGACTGTGGTGATGGTAGCACAACTCTGTGAGTTTACTATTGAATTGTGTACTTTAAATGGGTGGATTTTATGAAAATAAAAGCTTGAGTTCTAAAATGGCCTAGAAAGCTCTGATCCAAACAAATAATAATAATAATACCAATAATTCTGTCTCATGTAATACTCAAAACCACCTTGCTACACCCATTTTACAAGTAAGTTAACTGAGGCTTAGAAAGGTTATATGACTTGCACAAGTTCGTATTAATTGCAGAGCAATTTCCTATTGGAAACCCCACTATTACAGTGTGGCTATGTCCCAATAGATGGGTTGGCTTTCTGCTTTAGTTGAAAAATAAGTTACCACCTTTTAGGAGAGGTTTAAGGATTGTTTATATTTTTAGAAGAAAACAAGTGAACACCATGCCTTGCTAGTCTTTGATCTAGGACCAAACATAAGGCCAATTTAATTCCTGGAAACTAAGGAGTATGATACATTGATTCATTTTACCTCTTACCCAATTTACAGAATTTAATGTTAATGATATTCTGCGTCAGCCTCTTCCTCTTAATGAGTCTTTCTGAAGGCTCTCTTCACTGTGCTCCTATAGAATTCTTTAATGAATTGAAAACCCTCAAAGAGACAACAACTGGCTCAACCCAACAGTAAAAACGTAATTCTGTTGGAGTATTTGAGGTATTTAAATCTCATAAAGGAATGGGGAAAAGTTAGAATGCAGACTGGGAGGTGGGCTCATATTTCATTCATTACTGTTGATAAATTGTTTTAAATTACATATTACACATCACTGTGATACAGTAATGGGTATACATATATAGAACTCAAATAGACACCCAAGACAGTATTTTTAGTTCAGATCTTTGGAACTTAGAAACACCTTTTCCCAAAAATCAAAATGTTCAAAATGGCTGTTCAATATCAAAGACATCACTTTAAAACCTATTTTACTAAGGAGGCAGGTGATGGAATAAAAACGATGATGATGTAGACCCTAGGCTACATTTGGAACACATTCCAAATTCCAACTCCAAAAGGCAACACTAACCACCTTGACAGGCTTTAGCTCTGCCTCTGCTGCTCCTTGACACACGCGTGTTCTCCTCCAGCCACACAAGTCACACTGAAAAGTCCATGTTCCTCCAGACCATGGTGAAGGGAATCCCAGCAGATGTCCCGCCCAGGTGGGGAGGGAGAACCCTGGGCTAAGATGTTCGGAGGGGAAAGGATGTGCAGGGACATCCAGGACCTGCCAGCGCAGTGAGGTTCTGCAGTGGGAACTGCCGTCTGGATCTTCAGCACTAGACCAAGCCCATGCCCCAGCCACCAGCCAAGGTCTGGATGCGGACGGATTAAAAATTGGAAAGCTACAACAATTTGCAACCCACATAAAGTTTTAAAAATCAGGAAATGTCACATGAAAACCTGTTTTGTTTAGTTTTTTTATTTTCTTGAAAAATCAGAACTTCTGACAACTCCAGGTCCACACTCCATCTGACAACAAATGGCTGGAGTATGAGAAACAGAGACCCCCGGCCTCCCCCAAGGGCTCTCTTATTTTCTAGTCTCCCCACTGTCCTACCTGAATGACTTCATTTATTTAGGGTAGCAGCCTGGCCCTTGTAAACATAAGACTTTGTGACCCTGGTCTGGATTCTCTACAGTGGACAGGGGTAGAGAAATGAAAAAGGGAGCTCACTGTTGCAGGAGAAAGTGCTCACCCAGGCCATCATGGGCAACTCGGCAGCTCCCGTCATTAAGGAGAGAAAGGGGAAGGAAGGCAGGTCATTTCCAGCCAACAAGTGATCCCTGGAGGCGATAGCTGGGGAGGGTGGTGGAGGAGAGATCTCATAACCACTCTGGGGAAAAAATAATGTTTCTGGGACCATCATTAAAGGGTCTTATAAATATTCAGTGTGGAAATCATTCTACACACTTTGTTAAATATAGCAAGAAATTACCTGAAAACCTTTCCTGTAATTATTCTTTAGTGGTTGAAGACATGACCGTGGCTCTTGAGGGATTAAAATGATAATACTACAACAATTCCCCCATTTATCCAGTGGTCAGGCTCCTGTTAGTTCAAACAGAAGGGGCATAACTGAGAAGAGAAAATGAAAACAACCCCTGGGAGATGCAGTCTTCCCTGGCCTATGACTGTTACAGGCCCCGCAAAGGCCTCGTGCTACCTGCCAACTAGACTTACAGGTAAAGGTGATTCTTGAACAAAACAAGTTGTCTTTTTCCCATTTCATCAACAGTGATCTAGGACCATTTAGTGTATGGGCAAACATCCTTGCACACATCGGTATGGCTCTGGGTCACCAGGAGTCAGAATGATAAACAGTGTAGCCCATTTAATGAGGTGAGGACCAATGTACCACATTTTAGAGTATTTCCATCCAATATTGTAAAAATAAAGTTTCAGTTCTCACAAGGTGAACTTTATTCATGGAACAACTCATCTGCCAACAGTGCTAGATATGAAACATTTCTATACTACTTTTAAATTGAAAAAAAAAAATTAACAGAGTATTCTTCTTAGTACCACGTGGTACCCCAGTGGAAAGAACAATTAACTCGGGCCCTCAGGTTCTCCACTACAGTCAGGAACCTGCCTGCAGCCTCTTGTCCTAAGACCCTCCCAGTAAACAGTTGTAGCCAATTTCCCCACACCTGCCAACCTCAGCTCACTGTTAGCCCAAAGCGAGCAGCTGCCATCCTGGGGATGGGCTCATTATTATTATGCTGTCTACTGACTTGCGTTCCAACCTAATGGAGCCTTGGCCTTTGGAGACTTTCAGGCCCATTCTGACCTTACTGACATCCTGATTCAAAACACCAAAGTCCTGGACCCGAGTTTGAACTCCATAGATCTCTGGGTTTGCGCAGGACCTTGACCTCTCCCTTGGTCTTTCTTGGGTCCAGATCTCTGCTCTCACCAACCCAGTTACAGCTGCCACTTTTACACCAACCCTAGCTGTACGCCTTTCTTTAGGTCTGTAAATTGGAATCCTAAATGTGAATCACGACCAAATGTTTAGGTATTAAGTAAAAGTATGACATTATAACCTAAAGTTATTAGCATATTAAAATGGTGCTAAGGGTTTATTTCCCTTTCTCATTATGCTAATTCCAGTAAGGAAGAAAGCCTTAAATTCATTTCTTTAGTACATTTCCCTAATCTAAAGTATAACTTTTTAAAAAGCATATGATATGTTTTTAAAGTGTTATTCTCTTTGACTTCCAAATTAAGACATTTCTTTCCAAATTGTGACAGGAAAAGGTAAGTGTCTACCACTAGAAAGTCACATTTGTTTTAAGAAGCTGCTAGTAGATGAGGTATGGGAGAAAACATTTATTTTTATTCTGCAAAGTTTTGAGGGGGGCTTTTTTTTTTTTTTTTTTGAGGTACGCAGGCCTCTCACTGTTGTGGCCTCTCCCGTTGCGGAGCACAGGCTCCGGACGCGCAGGCTCAGCAGCCATGGCTCACGGGCCTAGCCGCTCTGCGGCATGTGGGTTCTTCCCGGACCGGGGCACGAACCTGTGTCCCCTGCATTGGCAGGCAGACTCTCAACCACTGCGCCACCAGGGAAGCCCAAGGGGGGCTATTTTTAACCAAACGATATTTTGTAAATGTGTTACTTTCACATTGTAGTATTAGTACTAAGGGAATTACCCTGTAGAAAAAGGAGAAAAGACATTCCTTCTTAACACTGTGCAATGGTTATTAGCAATATCTCCCTGATTCCAGCACCAACTGTGTTTCTGTTACAAAATAGCTCCATATGCTTTTTTTCCCCAAGTGCTCTTTAAAACAGACACATTTTTAAGTCAGCTTGTGGATACTTTGTGTGTATTTCTTTAATGATTTCCATCTTAGAGCAAGTTGCCTATGTTACAGTCTGTAGATAGCACAGAGAAGTTAGAACAGAATTAGATTCAATGTTGGAATAAAATGATGCAAGTCCTGTAATTGGTGTGCTGCGTCCTTTCATTGAGAATTGAAACTATAAACATTGGCATCTGCTGTCTTAAACTTTCTGGGGCTATTACTCAGCTATTGATTATTTCATTCATTTATGTCTATGCTTCAAACTTGACTTTGGGGATGCTGAAAAGGCTGGCTACTGCTTTGGAACATTTCAGTCACTGTAGGAAAAAGACCACCTCTCACCCAGCAATTTCCATATTACCTATGAGCAGCACCATACTAATCACACGCGTTTGGGTGGCTTGTGAGCTCTTAGGGCCTACAGTTTTCCTCAGTTCCTGAGCCTTCCCCCCTACACCAGTTAAGACAGCCCACCCACCAGGAATGATTTCACCCCAGGTGCTTCCTCTTATTTGATTAATGTTATGGGCACTGGGAGAGAACACTCTATTGTTCCTTAATGGAAACTAATTTTTATTGTAGGCATCTTATACTTGTTGCATGATTAAATAGTGGTATATTGTGAACTTGTAAAGGGCAGCTGGCTTCTGCTTGCTTCTCTGTGCTTGAGAGGAATCGATAGTGACTGCACATCAGAATCACCGGTTGGAGGTAGGAGCGGAGGGATAATTAAATACCAGTGATAGGGTCCCACCCCGGACCAATAAATCACAATATTTGGAAGTGGTATTTCTTCCAAGCTTTCCAGATGATCCCAATATACTGTCATTGTATTGTATACTGGAACCATCAAGCTGAGTCATAAACTGGGGCTCATAGTCGCTGGCCTGGGATATAAACTGTCAACTAGGGAGGCTTGTTAAGTGCACTGAGTTCTGGAGTTAAACAGTGCAGTTTCTGATTCTGTGACCTTGAACAAGTTACCTCATTTCTCTAAGCCAGTTTGCTTACCTGAAAAATGATGCCCACCTCAAACTTCAAAGGACAGGACAAGGACCACAGTTCCCTCAAGATCTTATCTTGTTCTTTGGGTTTTTAATCTTATCTATAACATGCCAAACATACAGAAGAAAACTGAGAACTTAAGCCAATTACCTAGCAGTTATCTGTCGAACTGCCTGAATATTGGTTTACATCTAGATTTTAAATCTGCATATGTCTACATATTTGAGAGAATATTCCAATTTCTTCCATATTCCACAGCAAGCATGGCCACTCCAACAGGTCAGCATGAAAGAGTAAAAAAAAGCCAAAAGTGGGGCAAAGCTGAGGACAGACACCAGGAAAGCCACTCAATGCTATGTTAGGGTAGGCAGGAAGAAACTATGTCAAAAAGGGAGTCAGGAGCCAGGTACCAAGTCTGAACAGGTATCTAAACAGGAATCCAAATGGTGATCTGCACTGAGGACCTTCAGTAACCGCCAAGGAGGCAAAGGGCAGGAAACTGGAAAAACTGGATAACACCGCACGTTCTGTAATTTGCTGTGTTAGAGTCCTATTGAAGGTCTAATTTCGAGGGCATGTTAATACAGTTCTTAATGAAGCCATATTTTGAGCCCAATATCTGACAACACAAATATCTGATTTAAAGGCATTTATAAGCTAAATCCAGAGAATTCAGCTTGAACTTGGGTTCAGGAGGTTAACTCCAGATTAACAATGACAACAACAAATGTCAAGGCTATTCAGACTCTTTTCTACTTTTATCTGTAAATAAGTCAAAAGATTTCAGCACATGACATATACAACTAGCTTCAGTATGGTCGATGTGATAAACAGGCTCATCAGTGTACCGTGTTTATAGATTAGAAGACTCAATATTGTTAAGGTCATTGTCCCCAAGTTGGTCCACAGATTCAATGAAATCCAAATCCAAGCAGGTACTTTTTTTTTTTTTTTTTTTGTAGGAATTGGCCAGCTGCTTCTACATAAACATGGGAATGCAGAATATTTAGAATAGCCAAAATAACCTTGGAGGAGGGCTGGGAAATACAAAGTTAGAGAACTTGCCCTGAACCTTAAGTTTGTGGATACCTAACAGAAAGTTTGCCATAATAATGCCTCATCTTGTACATAAGCCTAACATGTTTTGAAAAAGTCAATTTACTAATTACCACATCTCCACACAGGATACTAAAATAATAAAACTATATTTACTGAAACACTATATGCACAGCATTCCTCAAAGTGTGATATGGGGACCGCGTGCAGCAGAATCACCCTTGAGTTTCCTTAAAATATTGACATATGGATTTTTCCCAGACTTAATAAATCAGACTTTTAGAGGTGGGCTCCAGGAATTTCTATTTTTAACAAGCTTCTCAGCTGATACTGAGGTACTCTAGAACTTGAAAGTGACTCCCCTGGTATTTATTAGGTTTTTCCCTAAAGGACAATGGCCTTTTCCTGTATTCACCTGAAGAGATGCTATCTTCACACAATTTTGATATCAATAAAAAAGCAAGACTTACCTTCTCTGGTGGGTGGTTAGTTATGAGGGTTGTAGCCCTTTCAGTAAATACATTTGTTGAATACATATTTTTATACCCTGTTGCAACTTCTTCATCATCTCGAAAATCAAGAGCACATCGTGTAACATTCAGAGCGTTGATTAACGTACAGCGCTCATGGGAATAGTAATCTTCACTACCTAGAAGATATCCTACAAGGAGAATGGGAGATGAAAGTAGTTAGCATAGCATAAAACATGTTAAACAAACGAAGGTCTCAGCATTTAATTGCCTAATGCAATTGATTATCCATGTCAGGGCTAATCAAATGACAAGGCTAATCAGAGCACCATTTTTTAACATCTCTATATTTGCTAGCATAAGGCATTAAAATGTTATCGTAAAAAAAATTCAAATCCACCCCTTAGCCAAGTCTTTAGAATATAAGCTCTATCACGTAACTCTCAAAGTGGGTGATTCCAAGTGAATATGTTTTAAAAAATCAGAGTTTAAATTCAGTAAAAGTGATGACATTTTAATCTTTTAAAGCTATCTAATGGTTAAAATAGCATATGGTTCAGGTGATTTGTTACAAATTTTTACTCTGAGGTGATCACATAAATGAACGCAGAATTCAAATAACGTTGATATTGACCTTGGTCGGCTGGCTTCAAGGTTATTTACAGAAGTAGCTCTTGGAGGCATCATCTTTAGTCAGATGCTGACACCCACTGGTGAAAGACACAAAGATTTCCAAACAGAGGATCTCTAAACATAACGACCAAAAGAGCAAACTAACATGTGGTGTTGAAATTAGATTTTTCTACGTCTGTTGATCTCAATTTCACCCCCAATTTAAATGGCATCAATGGCCTATCCCACAATTTAGACTTAAACATGGGAGAAATGTTTTCTCAAGTTTAGTTGTTCCTGCAAATGTTCCATATTTTCCTAAAATATTAAAATAAGCTGTGCTGCATGTTATATGATTCTATTTATATGAAATGTTCAGAATAGGCAAATCTGTAGAGACAGAAAGTAGGTTAGTGGCTGCCTAGGGCTATGAGGGTCAGGGGAAAATGGAGAGTGACTGCTAATGTGTATGGGGTTTCTTTATTGGGGTGATGGAAATGTTCTACATTTGGATTGTAGTGACAGTGGTACAACCCTGTGAATTTATTTAAAAATCAATGAACTGTACGTTTTAATGGGGTGAATTATATGGTATGTGAATTACACCTCGATAAAGCTATCCAAAAGAAATAACTGTGCTGGACTCTGAGCTATCTCCTGACAAACACTGCTTATTAACATTAAAATGAAGATAATAAAATTGGCCTCTTTCCCCAGTTCTAAATATTTCTTATAATCACAATTAAAAGCCCTACATATCTTACCTAGTAAATGAATTCATTTTAATTTCCTCCTTTTCCATGATTCAGTAAATTCAAGGTCCTAAATACAATGAACATCTTAGTTTTAAGATAACTCTTTAAATGGTAATCTTTTCTCCTACAGGTATAACAGAAAGGGAAAGCCAATGTGTTTGCTAATTAATATATAATCGAAAAACAAATGTATCCATGAAAATAATTTCAGTCCTTATATGGGTAATTAAAGGGGTCAGGACACTGGTGTTCTATTTGGGGTTAATAACTGCTGGTAACACCTTGAAGAATCACTTCAGGTTCTTTATCTGTAAGAATAAACTGTTTTCTATCATTTGGGGAAATACATGCAGAGGATATACTTGATAAAAAGATGTATAAACCATAAATATTAAAAAGATAGTACAAATAGGATTCCAATAGAACTCTTTATTCACATAATAGAACTATCTATTCACATACTTGGCCAAACTAATACCAAGCAACCATGTGACAGTCACATAGAACTTTCTCATAACAATAATTCACAAATTTGAACTTACATGCTGAGTCTAAAGAAGATGGCAGCGATGCTTTTTGGGGGAAGATGAGAAACTATATTTTGAACAATTAAATCTCTGACTGCTGTATTATTTAACAGCTTTATTGAGAATAATTCACATATCATACAAATCACTCATTTACGTTGTACAGTTCAATGGTTCTTAGTGTACTCAGAGTTGTGCAAGCAGGCCCACAATCATCTGTTTTTTAACAGAACATCTAAGTCATAGCAGTGATAACAACTGCATCGTCATCATGCCCTCCTTCTCTGCAAGTCTCCCTTCCATGAATGTGCGGTGGGGTGTCTGTCTGTCTAAATCCACTTAGGCTTCTTAATTCTCATAAAAGGATGTTATTTCCACCTCTGTCCAAATGAATTTTTAAATATATAATTTGGTTTAAACATATAATTTTAAAATATAAAATTTGGTTTTTAATAAAAACAATTAAAATATCCTTCCAGTTGCCAGAGTACAGGTATTGACCCATCGTTAAGCAAAGACCTGATTGAAAATTGTCAAAGGATATAGAGGCTGTTTTTTCCTCTAGAATTTCCAAGGTGACAAAGAGGTCTTACACCCAAGTCCTGTTTTTAACAGCTATTTAAGAATACTGAGGATATATCCAGATACATCAGGGAAGAATGCATTATTGATTAAGCAATGTCTGCTAGAGAACCCAGATGGGAATGGGTCACACGGTGTCTCACGTCTGGATGTCCTTACATCTCGACTTAAACTGTGGTTTGAACTAGGCACTATAGAGCTGTGAGCCTCAACTGCACTGTGTGGGCCCCATATAATCACTTGAACTGAAATGTACTTTGGTGCTCTGGTCCTAGCTTGAATAAAAGAGAATGTCTCAAGAAACATCTATAAGACAACCACCATTTTATTACTAAAATGATGTTTTTGAGGATGCTGCCACCTTACCTTCTCCCAAAGGAGAAATTTCTCTCAGGTCTAAGAGCCAGAAAATGCTTTACTCTTCCTGAACATCTGGTTTCCATTTAACTCATAAGTAATGTGACACTTATAGACTGCTTTTTTTTTTTTTTGCTTTGAGCATAAGAAGTCCCAAATCTTAGAGTTGAATGTGAAGTCTGCTACAGCCAGGCAGGTTTTTTTTTTTTTTTAAATAACTCGGTGCCAAGCAACTATTCCATCTTTTTCTATTCATCCTGATTTTTAAAAAATAGATCTTTATTGGAGTATAATTGCTTCAAAATACTGTGTTAGTTTCTGTTGCACAACAAAGTGAATCAGCCATATGCATACACGTCCCCATATCCCCTCCCTCTTGAGCCTCCCTCCCATCCTCCCTATCCCACCCCTCTAGGTCGTCGCAAAGCACCGAGCCTATCTCCCTGTGCTATGCGGCTGCTTCCCACCAGCCAACTATTTTACATTCAGTAGTGTACGTATGTCGATGCTATGTCAATGCTACTCTCACTTCGCCCCAGCTTCACCCTCCCACCCCATGTCCTCAAGTCCATTTTCTATGTCTATCTCTTTATTCCTGCCCTGCAACTAGGTTCATCAGTACCATTTTTTTTTCAGATTCCATATATATATGTTAGCATACAGTATTTGTTTTTCTGACTTATTTCACTCTGTATGACAGACTCTAGGTCCGTCCACCTCACTACAAGTAACTCAATTTCGTTTCTTTTTATGGCTGAGTAATATTCCATTGTATATATGTGCCATATCTTCTTTATCCATTCATCTGTTGATGGACATTTAGGTTGGTTCCATGTCCTGGCTATTGTAAATAGTGCTGCAATGAACATTGTGGTACATGTCTCTTTTTGAATTATGGTTTTCGCGGGGTATATGCCCAGTAGTGGGATTGCTGGGTCATATGGTAATTCTATTTTTAGTTTTTTAAGGAGCCTCCATGCTGTTTTTCATAGTGGTTGTATCAATTTACATTCCTACCAACAGTGCAGGAGGGTTCCCTTTTCACCACACCCTTTCCAGCATTTATTGTTTCTAGATTTTTTGATAATGGCCATTCTGACCGGCATGAGGTGATACCTCATCATAGTTTTTTTGTTTGTTTGTTTGTTTTTGTTTTGCAGTACGCAGGCCTCTCACTGTTGTGGCCTCTCCCGTTGCGGAGCACAGGCTCTGGACGCGCAGGCTCAGCGGCCATGGCTCACGGGCCCAGCCACTCCACGGCACGTGGGATCTTCCCAGATTGGGGCACGAACCCGTGTCCCCTGCATCGGCAGGCGGACTCTCAACCACTGTGCCACCAGGGAAGCCCCATCTTTGATTTCTTTCATCAGTGTTTTATAGTTTTCTGAGTACAACTCTTTTGCCTCCTTAGGTAGGTTTATTCCTAGGTATTTTATTCTTTTTGTTGCAATGGTAAATGGGAGTGTTTCCTTAATTTCTCTTTCTGATTTTTCATTGTTGGTGTATAGGAATGCCAGAGATTTCTGTTCATTAATTTTGTATCCTGCAACCTTACCAAATTCATTGATTAGTTCTAGTAGCTTTCTGGTGACACCTTTAGGATTTTCTGTGTATAGTATCATGTCATCTGCAAACAGTGACAGTTTTACTTCTTCTTTTCCAATTTGTATTCCTTTTCTTTCTTTTTCTTCTCTGATTGCTATGGCTAGGACTTTCAAAACTATGTTGAATAACAGTGGTAAGACTGGACACCCTTGTCTTGTTCCTGATCTTAGTGGAAATACTTTCACCACTGAGTATGATGCTTGTTGTGGGTTTGTCATATATGGCCTTTATTATGTTGAGGTAGGTTCCCTCTATGCCCATTTTCTGGAGAGTTTTTTTTTTTTAATCATAAATGGGTGCTGAACTTTGTCAAAAGCTTTTTCTGCATCTATTGAGATGATCATATGGTTTTTATTCCTTAATTTGTTAATGTGGTGTATCACATTGATTAATTTGTGCATATTGAAGAATCCTTGCATCCCAGGGATAAATCTCACTTGATCATGGTGTATGATCCTTTTAACGTGCTGTTGGATTATGTTTGCTACTATTTGTTCAGGAGTTTTTCATCTATGTTCATCAGTGATATTGGTCTATAATTTTCTTTTTTTGTAGTAGCTTTATCTGGTTTTGGTATCAGGGTGATAGTGGCCTCATAGAATGAGTTTGGGAGTATTCCTTCCTCTGCAATTTTTTGGAAGAGTTTGAGAGGGATAGGTATTAGCTCTTCTCTAAATGTTTGATAGAGTTCACCTGTGAAGCCATCTGTTCCTGGACTTTTGTTAGAAGACTTTTAATTACAGTTTCAATTTCATTACTTGTGATAGGACTGTTTATATTTTCTAATTCTTCCTGGTTCAGTCTTGGAAAATTTTACCGTTCCAATAGTCTGTCCATTTCTTCGTGGTTGTCCATTTTATTGGCATATAGTTGTTTGTAGTAGTCTCTTATAATCCTCTGCATTTCTGCAGTGTCAGTTGTCATTTCTCCTTTTTCATTTCTAACTTTGATTTGCATCCTCTCCCTTTTTTTCTTGATGAGTCTGGCTAAGGGTTTACCATTTTGTTTATCTTCTCAGAGAACCAGCTTTTAGTTTTATTGACCTTTGCTATTGTTTTCTTTGTTTCTATTTCATTTATTTCTGCTCTGATCTTTATGATTTCTTTCCTTCTACTGACTTTGGGTTTTCTTTGTTCTTCTTTCTTTAGTTGTTTTAAGTGTAGGGTTAGACTGTTTATTTGAGATTTTTCTTTTTTCTTAAGATGAGATTGTATAGCTATAATCTTCCCTCTTAGAACTACTTTTGCTGCATCCCATAGGTTTTGGGTCATCATGTTTTCATTGTCATTTGTTTCTATGTATTTTTTGATTTCTTCTTTGATTTCTTCAGTGATCTCTTGATTATTTAGTAGCACACTGATTAGCCTCCATGTATTTGTTTTTTTACAGTTTTTTTCCTGTAATTGATTTCCAATCTCACAGTGTTGTGGTCAGAAAAGATGCTTGATATGATTTCAATTTTCTTAAATTTTCCGAGGCTTGATTTGTGACCCAAGATGTGATCTATCCTGGAGAATGTTCCATGTGCACTTGAGAAGAAAGTGTATTCTGCCACTTTGGGGTGGAATGTTCTATAAATATAAATTAGATCTATCTGATCTATTGTGTCATTTAAAGCTTGTGTTCCCTTATTTATTTTCTGTTTGGATGATCTGTCCATTGGTGTAGGTGGGATGTTAAAGTCCCCTACTATTATTGTGTTACTGTCGATTTCTCCTTTCATGGTTGTTAGCATTTGCCTTATATATTGAGGTGCTCCTATGTTGGGTGCATAAACATTTATAATTGTTATATCTTCTTCTTGGATTGATCCTTTGATCATTATGTAGTATCCTTCTTTATCTCTTGTAACAATCTTTATTTTAAAGTCTATTTTATCTGATACAAGTATTGCTAATCCAGCTTTCTTTTGATTTCCATTTGCATGGAATATCTTTTTCCATCCCCTCACTTTCAGTCTGTATGTGTCCCTAGGTCTGAAGTGGGTCTGTTGTAGACAGCATATATATGGGTCTTGTCTTTGTATCCATTCAGCCAGTCTATGTCTTTTGGTTGGGACATTTAATCCATTTACATTCAAGGTTATTATTGGTATGTATGTTCCTATTACCATTTTCTTAATTGTTTTGGCTTTGTTTTTTGTGGGTCTTTTTCTTCTCTTGTGTTTCCTGTTTAGAGAAGTTTTTTCAGCATTTGTTGTAAAACTGGTTTACTGGTGCTGAATTCTCTTAGCTTTTGCTTGTCTGAAAAGCTTTTGACTTCTCCATCGAATCTGAATGAGATCCTTGCTAGGTAGAGTAATCTTGGTTGTAGGTTTTTCTCTTTCACCACTTTAAGTATATCCTTCCACCCCCTTCTGGCCTGCAGAGTTTCCACTGAAAAATCAGCTGATTACCTTGTTGGGATTCCTTTGTATGTTATTTTTTGTTTTTCCCTTGCAGCTTTTAATATTTTTTCTTTGAATTTAATTTTTGTTAATTTGATTAATATGTGTCTTGGTGTGTTTTTCCTAGGGTTTATCCTGTATGGGATTCTCTGTACTTCCTGGACTTCGGTGACTATTTCCTCTCCCATGTTAGGGAAGTTTTCAACTATAAACTCTTCAAATATTTTCTCAGACCCTTTCTTTTTCTCTTTTTCTGGGACCCCTATGATTCAAATGTTGGTGCGTTTAGTGTTGTCCCAGAGGTCTCTGAGATTGTCTTCAATTCTTTTCATTCTTTTTTCTTTATTCTTCTCCTTGGCAGTTACTTCCAGCTCACTTATTCATTCTTCTGCCTCAGTTATTCTGTTACTGATTCCTTCTAGTGTATTTTTCATTTCAGCTATTATGTTGTTCATCTCTGTTTGTTTGTTCTTTAGTTCTTCTAGATCTTTGTTAAACATTTCTTGTATTTTGTCAATCTGTGCCTCCATTCTATTTTCGAGATTCTGGATCATCTTTACCATCATTACTATGAATTCTTTTTCAGGTAGATTGCCTATTTCTTCTTCATTTATTTGGTCTTATAGGTTTTTACCTTGCTCCTTCATCTGTGACATATTTTTTTGCCATCTCATTTTTTTTTTCAATAAGTGGGATTGTGTTCCTGTCTTACTGGTTGTTTGACCTGATGCTTCCAACACTAGGGTTAGTAGGCTGTTGGGTAGAGCTGGGTCTTGCCTGAGATGAGGAACTCCATGAGACCTCACTCTGATGAATATTCCCCATGGTCGGAGGTTCCCTGTTAGTCCAGTGGTTCAGACTCAGAGCTCCCACCGCAGGAGCTTCGGCCTGACCCTGGGCTTGTGAATCAAGATCCTGCAAGCCAACTGGGGAGGTAAAAAAAAAAAAAGAAAAGAAAAACCAAAAGAACAATAACAAAGTAAAAAATAAAATTAGGCTAGAAAACTAACAGATAGGGAGAATATAAAAATAAAAATATAGATGAATCAACAACTGGAATATACAACAGTACCACAATGGTAAAAAAAAGAGAAGGAGGGGAAAAAAAGGTTGCGGGGGAAGGCCTTGGCTGTGGAGGGTGGGGGCTAAGCAAGGGTGAGGTTTGGGTGGTGGGCAGGGCTGATGCTCAGGACCCACAGGGCTGGAAAAGGCCCTGGAGGGTGTGCGGTGGGGGGGACGGTTAGGTTCAAGGAACGTAAGGGGCCCAGGCGTGCCCCCCAGCCCTGGTCTCACAGGGCAGGGGCCCTCACCTGGGAGTCCAGCAGCCTTCCTGGGCTCAAGTGGGCAGGGCAAACACCCTCCTCTCCTCTCCTCCTCCTCTGGTCTGGGAGGGCCCCTCCCACCTGCCTCTCCTGATCTCCCCAGCCTCCCTCCTATGCCCCCAAGAACGTACGCAGCCTGGAGGGGGCTTTGGAGGGCAGGGGATAGGCCTGGGAGCTCAGCAGGCTCCCTGGGCCTGAGTGAACAGGGCAATCACCCTCCACTCCTCTCCTGCTTCTCCCAGAGGGCCCCTCCTGCCTGCCTCTCCTAATCTCCCTGGCCTCAGGGATGCCAATCCTGTCTGGCCTCCACTTCTCCCCCTTCAGTCCCCTTACATCCTACCAGTTCACTTTGGAGATCCTCCTGTCTCCTTGGGTGTCAGAGTGCCCCACCACTGGCCAGCAGGTGCCCTAGCTGTGGGGAGACACTAACTCCACCTCTTTCCATACTGCCATCTTGACTCCGCCTCCTCTCACCCTGATTTTTTTCTTTTTTTTTTTGCGGTACGCGGGCCTCTCACTGTTGTGGGCTCTCCCCTTGTGGAGCACAGCCTCTGGACGTGCAGGCTCAGCGGCCATGGCTCACGGGCCCAGCTGCTCCGTGGCATGTGGGATCCTCCCGGACCGGGGCACGAACCCGTGTCCCCTGCATCAGCAGGCGGACTCCCAACCACTGCGCCACCAGGGAAGCCCACCCTGATTTTTCAATTCTATTTATGTTTTAAAAATTTATCTTCATTGTGTGTTCCTTTTTGTACATGGCAGTTTGTAAATAAATGAAGAGACAAATGGGAGGTAGGTAGGGAGCTAAACAGCTAGACAGATAAAACAGAATAGCTAGATGGAAAGCAAAATATGAGGGGGAAAGTTGGGGGTGAGAGGTGGGATGAACTGGGAGATTGCAATTGATGTATATACACTAATATGTATAAAATAGATATCTAATAAGAACCTGCTGTATAGCACAGGGAACTCTACTTCACTTCGCTGTACAGTAGAAACTAACAAACATTGTAAAACAGCTACACCCCAATTAAAAAAAAAAAGCAAAATATGAAAAGAACTTGACAGAAAGCTATGTAGCCCCTGGCAAGATAAATAGATAAATAGGTTGTTAAGAAATAGTTTGTAACAGGTTTAAATAGAGCATATATTTTTAAAAAAAACTGTAGGCTTTACATTTATTTTTATAGGGCTATCAAATCCATAAAATGCTTATTATTTTGTATCTTTCCTATTACCATTTGTTATTTACCCTCCCATTTTCTTTATTTGATCTATCTTCCCCAATCTAGTAATTTCAAAAACAGATCTCACAGAAGGAAAGAAGGATGCCAATTGGAAAAGAGTCTTCTTTATCATTTCCAGGAAATACAAAACAAAATAAAACCTTTGAACACAATTCATGAGGAGAAAAAAAGATCCTGAACCTTTGTGAAGGAAATATTCTTGTATTGGGTTTTGCCTGGAATTTTTAAAAAAAATCAATCTGTATCCCCTTTTGGTAATAAGGTTCTCTAAGAGTAGAGTGGTCTCTGACTTGGAGGTAGCAGACTCTGCAAAGGCCCCTACGTGGCATGTAGAACCCTGGCAAGGATAACTGCCTGTCCCATCACGAGCTGAGTGCACAGCCATGTTTACGGTCGTGGCATTAGACAGTGGCCCCATGGCAGTGCTGACTGATTCACTCTGTTCAAGTTTCCAGTTATTTCATTTGATTACACTTGGCTGTGTTTTATGAGACGGCTGCAGTTGGCCAGAGTTGTTAAAGAAACGTGTGCACTTCCATTACCAAAGTAGGTATCAAATCCTCGGCGGGTTGGAAGACATTCTTTCCTGTACATTCCCAGGTGCCATTTTCCGACCATGTGGGTAGCGTAGCCTGCTTCTTTTAGAAGCTGGGGCAGGAGTTTTTCATCCAGAGGAATGCAGCTGGGCTGACAGGGCCAGATTATTTGGTGCTGTAAACCTGTGTGGATCTTAAAATAGATAAACATAAAATTATGGATTAATGATGTTGAAATATTCTGAACAAGCAGATAAAGTGGTTGCCTAATTTACTAGACATATGTGTAAACATGAATGTTTAATTCTACTTCTGTACCAGGTTAAGGCATTTCTAAAAGGCATTTTTCTCACTTATTCAAATAAGGTAATAGACATAAATAAGAATTTGAAAGAAATGAATGAAAGCAGTCTAACAAACATTAGATAGTTTCAACAAATATTTATCCAGGAACTATGTTAGAAACTGTTAAGTTTTCACTTCTTACCTCAAAAAAGTAGCCATAATATGAAGTGTGGATCTATCAAGGAAAAAGTGTTCCAATTTCTATGCACATGAGATGTTGGTGTTTGATTAGAAGCTTCTATAATCTTTCAAGACTTGACTTTTTAAAAGGGTATAATGAAGATAATGATTTGCATTTCTTATTCTACCTTACATAAAGCATAATTTCAAAAGATAGTGACCAACTTTTCCTTAAAAAAAAAAAAAAAAGTGGCCATCTGATCCATAGGCTAGGAGTGGCTCCCACAAGTATCACCAGGGTGCAAGCACCACACAACTAATTTTAAGAAATTATCACGTGTTGAGTCTTGGTGTAATATTAAAGTAGAATACCCACAATTATATGAAAAGGTTATTAAAATAACCCTCTCTCGGGGACTTCCCTGGTGGCACAGTGGTTAAGAATCCGCCTGCCAATGCAGGGGACCCGGGTTCGAGCCCTGGTCCAGGAAGATCCCACATGTCACGGAGCAACTAAGCCTGTGCGCCACAACTACTGAGCCTGCGCTCTAGAGCCCGCGAGCCACAGCTACTGAAGTCCGCACGCCTAGAGCCCATGCTCCGCAACAAGAGAAGCCACTGCAACAAGAGAAGCCCGCGCACCGCAACGAGAAGCCCGCGCATCGCAACGAAGAGTAGCCCCTGCTCACTGCAACTAGAGAAAGCCACGCACAGCAACGAAGACCCAATGAAGCCAAAAATAAATAATAAAATAAATTTATTTTTTTAAAAAAAACCCTCTCTTTTTCAACTACATATCTGTGTGGGGCTGGATGTTCTTCAACGACTTTTCCCAAAACAATATACAGTTGACCTTTCAACAACTGGGGGTTAGGGGCACTAACCCCTGTGCAGTTGAAAATGTAAGTATAACTTTACAGTTGGCAGCATCCAGGGATTCAACCACAGATCATGCAACATCATAGTACGTATTTAGTGAACAAAATCCACGTATAAGTGGACCCTCACAGTTCAAATCCATGTTGTTCAAGGGTCAACAGTATTGCACAGGTTGAATGCAGAAGCAGATGTAACAATCTAGCTATCTTCTATTAATAGGAAACACGTACAAAAATATAAAACAGGGAGATTGGTTCAAGAGGGCAGAGTAGAAGGACGTGCACTCACTCCCTGTTGTGAGAGCAACGGAATCGCGACTAACTGATGAACAAGCATTGACAGGAAGACACCGGAACTCACCAAAAGAGATATCCCACATTCAAAGACAGAGGAGAAGCTGCAATGAGATGGTAGGAGGAGCGCAATCACAATAAAATCAAATCCTATAACTGCTGGATGGGTGACTCACAAACTGGAGAACAATTATACCACAGAAGATTATCCACTGGAGTGAAGGTTCTGAGCCCCACGTCAGGCTTCCCAACCTGGGAGTCCAGCAATGAGAGGAGGAATTCCCAGAAAACCAGAATTTGAAGGCTAGTGGGATTTCATTGCAGGACTTCAACAGGACTGGGGGAAACAGAGACTTCACTCGTGGAGAGCACGAACAAAGTAGTGTGTGTATCAGATCCCAGAAGGAAGGAGCAGTGACCCCCATAGGAGACTGAACCAGACCTACCTGCTAGTGTTGGAAGGTCTCCTGCAGAGGCAAGGGGTGGCTGTGGGTCACCAGAGGGACAAAGACAGTGGCAGCAGAAGTTTGGGGAAGTACTCCTTGGCGTGAGCCCTCCCAGGGTCTGCCATTAGCCCCACCAAAGAGCTTGTAGCCTCCAGTGCTGGGTCGCCTCAGGCCAAACAACCAACAGGGAGGGAACTCAGCCCCACCCATCAGCAGACAAGGGGACTAAAGTTTTACTGAGCTCTGCCCACCAGAGCAACAGCCAGCTCTGCCCACCACCAGTCCCTCCCATCAGGAAGCTTACACAAGCCTCTTAGATAGCCTCATCCACCAGAAGGCAGACAGCAGAAGCAAGAAGAACTACAATCCTGCAGCCTGTGGAACAAAAACCACATTCACAGAAAGATAGACAAAATGAAAAGGCAGAGAACTATGTATCAGATGAAGAAACAAGATAAAACCCCAGAAAAACAACTAAATGAAGTGGAGATAGGCAACTTTCCGAAAAAGAATTCAGAATAATGATAGTGACAATGACCCAGGACCTTGGAAAAAGACTGGAGGCAAAGATCAAGAAGATGGAAGAAATGTTTAACAAAGACCTAGAAGAATTAAAGAAAAAACACCTAGAAGAATTAAAGAACAAACAAGCAGAGATGAACAATACAATAACTGAAATGAAAAATAAACTAGAAGGAATCAATAGCAGAATGGCTGATGCAGAAGAACGGATAAATGACCTGCAAGAAAGAATGGTGGAATTCACTGCCACAGAACAGAATAAAGAAAAAAGAATGAAAAGAAATGAAGACAGCCTAAGAGACCTCTGGGAAAACATTAAACGCACCAACATTTGCATTATAGGGGTCCTACAAGGAGAAGAGAGAGAGAAAGGACCCGAGAAAATATCTGAAGAGATTATAGTCAAAAACTTCCCTAACATGGGAAAGGAAATAGCCACCCAAGTCCAGGAAGCGCAGAGTCCCAGGCAGGATAATTCCAAGGAGAAACACGCCAAGACACGTAGTAATCAAATTGACAAGAATTAAAGACAAAGAAAAATTATTGAAAACAACAAGGGAAAAATGGCAAATAACATACAAGGGAATGCCATAAGGTTAACAGCTGATTTCTCAGCAGAAATGCTACAAGCCAGAAGGGAGTGGCACGATATATTTAAAGTGATGAAAGGGAAGAACCTACAACCAAGATTACTCTACCCGGCAAGGATCTCATTCAGATTCGATGGAGAAATCAAAAGCTTTACAGACAAGCAAAAGATAAGAGAATTCAGCACCACCAAACCAGCTCTACAACAAATGCTAAAGGAACTTCTCTCAGTGGGAAACACAAAAGGAGAAAAGGACCTACAAAAATAAACCCCAAACAATTATGAAAATGGTAATAGGAACATACAAATTGATAATTACCTTAAATGTGTTAAATGTTCCAACAAAAAGACACAGGCTCACTGAATGGATACAAAAACAAGACCCATATATATGCTGTCTACAAGAGACCCACTTCAGACCTAGGGACACATACAGACTGAAAGTGAGGGGATGGAAAAAGATAATCCATGCAAATGAAAATCAAAAGAAAGCTAGAGTAGCAATACTTATATCAGATAAAATAGGCTTTAAAATAAAGAATGTTACAAGAGACAAGGAAGGACACTACACAATGATCAAGGGATCAATCCAAGAAGAAGATATAACAATTATAAATATATATGCACCCAACATAGGAGCACCTCAATACATAAGGTAAATGCTAACAGCTATAAAAGAGGAAATCGACAGTAACACAATAATAGTGGGGGACTTTAACATCTCACTTACACGAATGGACAGATCATCCAGACAGAATATTACAAGGAAACAAAAGCTTTAAATGACACAATAGACAAGGTAGATTTAATTGACATTTATAGGACAATCCATCCCAAAACAGCCGACTACACTTTCTTCTCAAGTGCACATGGAACATTCCCCAGGATAGATCACATCGTGGGTCACAAATCAAGCCTCGGTAAATTTAAGAAAATTGAAATCATATCAAGCATCTTTTCTGACCACAACGCTATAAGATTAGAAATCAATTACAGGATAAAAAATGTAAAAAACACAAACACATGAAGGCTAAACAATACGTTACTAAGTAACAAAGAGATGGCTGAGGAAATTAAAAAATACCTAGAGACAAATGGCAATGAAAACACGATGATCCAAACCTTATGGGATGCAGCAAAAGCAGTTCTAAGAGGGAAATCTAGAGCAATACAATCCTACCTCAATAAACAAGAAAAATCTCCAATAAACAATCCAACCTTATACATAAAGGAAGTAGAGAAAGAAGACCAAACAAAACCAAAAGTTAGCAGAAGGAAAGAAATCATAAAGATCAGAGCAGAAATAGATGAGATAGAAACAAATAAAACAACAGTAAAGATCAATAAAACTAAAAGCTGGTTCTTTGAAAAGATAAACAAAATTGGTAAACCTTTAGCCAGACTCAACAAGAAAAAGAGGGAGAGGACTCAAATCAATAAAATTAGAAATAAAAAAGAGAAGTTACAATGGACTTCACAGAAATACAAAGCATCATAAGAGACTACTACAGGTGACCCTATGCCAATAAAATGGATAACCTGGAAGAAACGGACAAATTCTTAGAAAAACACAACCTTCTGAGACTGAACCAGGAAGAAATAGAAAACATGAACAGACCAATCGCAAGTAATGAAATTGAAACTGTGATTAAAAATCTTCCAGCAAACAAAAGTCCAGGACCAGATGGCTTCACAGGTGAATTCTATCAAACATTTAGAGAAGAGTTAACACCCATCCTTCTCAAAGTCTTCCAAAAAACTGCAGAGGAAGGAACACTCCCAAACGCATTGTATGAGGCCACCATCACCCTGATACCAAAACCGGACAAAGATACTACAAAAACAGAAAATTACAGATCAATATCACTGATGAATATAGACATAAAAATCCTCAAGAGTACTAGCAAACAGAATCCAATAACGCATTAAAAGGATCATACACCATGAGCAAGTGGGATTTATCCCAGGGATGCAAAGGTTCTTCAATATACGCAAATCA